TGCGGTACAGGAGCTTCTGATTCCTGTACCCAGCCAGAGGACAGGAAGTGCTCTCTCTCAGTGAGCCAGTGCGCCCTAAGGCGCAACCCTTCCTGGTCTCTTATTGTCCCTTTTTTTTTGTTTTACTTCCTCCAATCCCCTTGTGTGTCTGCCCCCACCAGCCTCTTTGTGTATCTCTTTCCCCCCCAATCCCTTTTGTGTATCTCCTTGAACCTTTAAGCCCCTTTGGGGGTCCCCTTCCCCAGTCCCTCTTTGTATCTCTTCCTCCCAGCACCATGTGTCTGCCCGCCCATCCCCTCTGTGTTTATCTTTTTCCTGAGCCCCTCTGCATGTCTCTTTCTCCCCTAAGCTCCCCTATGTGCCTATTTCCCCCCTCCCCAAGCTCCTTTTATGTGTCTCTTCACCTCAGGACCTTTTCTTTCCCACAGAGCCCCTCTGTGTTTCTCTTTGTCCCTTCCATAGCCCTTTAATGTGTCTCTTTCTCCACCATCCATTCTGTGTATCGCTTTCTTCCCGCCAAGCCACTTTGTGTGTCTCTTTCCCCTGACCCCCTTTGTGTCTCTTTCTCCCCTCCTCTCCTCTGTGTGTCACTGTCTCCTTTCAGCCCCTCTGTGTGTCTTCATCATGCCCCCAGCCCCTTTGTGTGTCTCTTTCACTGAACCTCATCACCCCATCCTTTTGTGAAGTTTTCAGCCTTCCCTTCTGCTTACCTCCATGTAGTGTGGCCATGCAGACCACGGTAGAGGATCTTCTGTATCCAGTGCCTGGTCTTCCTGTTAGACCCTGTAGAGAATATAGAAAATCCTTTACTGTGGTCTGTGCGGCCACACTACATGAAGTTACTGGCAAGAGGGGAGCACTCCCCTTCAGCCAGTCACCCAAAGATTGTGAAACCTGGGCCGCTGCGCCCTGAAGGATATTATGGATTCATTTTACAGACTACTTTTCATTTCACTTCATATAGTGCCACAGTTGTTTTTTGTTCATTATTCATAAAGGTAATTGTAAAATAAGCAATCTTTTTAAGAGGTAATTCAATTAAAGAGCAATAACACCAAATTTAACAAACTTGCTCCCCATTCACACCTGAGACATTGTAACACTAATGAGTCACATGACACCACCGGGGAGGGAAAATGGCTAATTGGGCCCAATTTGGACATTTCCACTGGGGTGTATTTACTTTTGTTGCCAACGGTTTAGACATTGATGGCCGTGTGTTGAGTTATTTTGAGGGGACAGCAAATTTACACTGTTATACACGCTGTACACTTACTACTTTACATTGTAGCAGAGTGTCATTTCTTCAGTGTTGTCAAATGAAAAGATATAATAAAATATTTACAAAAATGTGAGGGGTGTACTCACTTTTGTGAGATACTGTATATTTATGTACCACTTCTTTTTCTTAATAAAATTCAATAAAGATTTAGGTTTTAACATTCCTCTTGGGTGATTTATGCCCTATAGTTAAAGGTCTTGGCTATACATTTATCATTATTGGAAGTAAAAAGATTAACACAACCTATTGAAGAAACAAGAATTAACATTATCTTTGTTCTTTATTTCAGTTTTATTCAATGACAACCAAGGATTCAATTTTTTTTTCAATGGTATCATCTAAAAGATGTTTGGACAGGAGCCACGAGGGGGTGCAGTTTCAATGCTTGCCATAGTCGCAGTCTTCAGTAGATACGCCTCTGTTGACAGGTCACCGTGACCTGCTCCCTGCTGGCAAAACTAAATATGTCTTTAGATACAATGGGAGCAAGATAGTAGAATTCATTGTTTCTGTCTCCCTTAACAATGAATCATTCACCTCCTCTTCTGCTTGGTTACAAGACTGATATTATCCACAGTAAGATGTCAATTAATAGAGTAATAAAAAGGCAAAAGTAAATTATGAGTTGCGACACTGTGTGCCTAAGCACACAGTGTTGGAATCCACTGCTTTATAATAGGAACTGTTAATTAGCCTCCTACAGAGTATCTATACGTGGAGGCTCGAAGCTGATGATGTTCTAGTTGCAGCTGGAATGCAACTCCTGTTACCATGTTGATGTGTATTACTGAGTATAAATGGAGGTGTGCTGGTGAACCAAAATGTGAAGGGACACAGATTGTACAAACTTGCTACAGATTTTGGTTTGTCACCAACCCTCTGATTACACATCATGCTACATGCTCCCATTCATATATGTTATATGGATAGTTTTGAAACATGGTACTGTGTCACTCTTACACGTATTATTGCAGCCTTTACATAATAGTGAGGTATTCATAAATGAATCAAGCATTCACAGGCCCTGGGGATCCCTGAAAATGGGTGCCAACTAATTCTCTTAAAGAGAAATAACCCTTAAACATTTCAAGTGGATCCTTTGTAACAAATTTCGCAAAATGTTCTTTTAATTGGTTTGAAGTGTTTGCGTTTACACCCTATATTTTCACTATTTAAGTACAGTATCTCACAAAAGTGAGTACACCTCTCACATTTTTGTAAATATTTTATTATATCTTTTCATGTGACAACACTGAAGAAATGACACTCTGCTACAATGTAAAGTAGTAAGTGTACAGCCTGTATAACAGTGTAAATTTGCTCTCCCCTCAAAATAACTCAACACACGGCCATTAATGTCTAAACTGTTGGCAACAAAAGTGAGTACACCCCTAAGTGGAAATGTCCAAACTGGGCCCAAAGTGTCAATATTTTGTGTGGCCACCATTATTTTCCAGCACTGCCTTAACTCTAATGAGCATGGAGTTCACCAGAGCTTCACAGGTTGCCACTGGAGTCCTCTTCCACTCCTCCATGACGACATCACGAAGTTGGTGGATGTTAGAGACCATGCGTTCCCCCGCCTTCCATTTCAGGATGCCCCCCAGATGCCTAATAGGGTTTAGGTCGGAAGACATGCTTGGCCAGTCCATCACCTTTACCTTCAGCTTCTTTAGCAAGGCATTGGTCTTCTTGGAGGTGTGTTTGGAGTTGTTATCATGTTGGAATACTGCCCTGAGGCCCAGTCTCTGAAATGAGTGGATCATGCTCTGCTTCAGTATGTCACAGTACATGTTGGCATTCATGGTTCCCTTAATGAACTGTAGCTCCCCAGTGCCGCCAGCACTCATGCAGGCCCAGACCATGACACTCCCACCACCGTGCTTGACTGTAGGCAAGACACACTTGCCTTTGTACACCATCTGAACCAAATAAGTTTATCTTGGTCTCATCGTACCACAGGACAAGGTTCCAGTAATCCATGACCTTAGTCTGCTTGTCTTCAGCAAACTGTTTGTGGGCCTTCTTGTGCATCATCTTTGGAAGAGGCTTCTTTCTGGGATGACAGCCATGCAGTCCAATTTGATGCAGTGTTCAGTGTATGGTCTGAGCACTGACAGGATGATCCTCCTCCCCTTTAACCTCTGCAGCAATGCTGGCAGCACTCATATGTCTATTTTCCAAAGACAACCTCTGGATATGACACTGAGCATGTGCGCTTAACTTCTTTTGGTTGACCATGGCGAGGTCTGTTCTGAGTGGAACCTGTCCTGTGAAACCACTGTATGGTTTTGCCCACCCTGCTGCAGATCAGTTTCAGGGTCTTGGCAATCTTTTTATAGCCTAGGCCATCTTTATATAGAGCAACAATAATTTTTGTTCATATCCTCAGAGAGTTCTTTGCCATGAGGTGCCAAGTTGAACTTCCAGTGACCATTATGAGAGCGTGTGAGAGCAATAACACCAAATTTAACAAACTTGCTCCCCATTCACACCTGAGACATTGTAACACTAATGAGTCACATGACACCACCGGGGAGGGAAAAAGGCTAATTGGGCCCAATTTGGACATTTCCACTTTGGGGTGTATTTACTTTTGTTGCCAACGGTTTAGACATTGATGGCCGTGTGTTGAGTTATTTTGAGGGGACAGCAAATTTACACTGTTATACACGCTGTACACTTACTACTTTACATTGTAGCAGAGTGTAATTTCTTCAGTGTTGTCAAATGAAAAGATATAATAAAATATTTACAAAAATGTGAGGGGTGTACTCACTTTTGTGAGATACTGTATATTTATGTACCACTTCTTTTTCTTAATAAAATTCAATAAAGATTTAGGTTTTAACATTCCTCTTGGGCGATTTATGCCCTATAGTTCCTTTTTTATTAAAGGTCTTGGCTATACATTAATCATTATTGGAAGTAAAAAGATTAACACAACCTATCGAAGAAACAAGAATTAACATTATCTTTGTTCTTTATTTTAGTTTTATTCAATGACAACCAAGGATTCAATTTCTTTTTTAAATACATTGCTGTTATTCTGTATGAGTGACTTTTTTTTCTGTGAACTTCCTCTTCCTGAGCCTTTTAGCTTGCTCAGCTGGTTTGGGACCGGGTGTGCCAATATGAATGCATCATTTTGTGTTTGTTTTCAGATATAGCTCAGGCTTACTCAATCAATTGTGAATTTTTAGGATTTCAAAGTGAATTCAAAGTGAATATGACATTTTAAATAAAAGAAAATTATTAAAGTGTGAATTAGCTTTTTTGACCTAAAATGTCAAATAGAAAAACAAAAACATCACTCTGAATTCAGTTTTAAATTCAAGCAATTAATTTTGTAGTGAATAAGCCTGCCTCTGTAGCAGTCAGGATTTTGTTTTCCTGTATGTTTTTCTTTTTGAAGTGTACGTGGCTTGCCAACATTTCAAATGGCCATACAGAAAGACACATTTTTCAAACTGTGTGGATGGAAGTATATATTAGGATAAGAATTATCCCAAAATTCTTCCCTGTAGTGTGATACATTGGTTCATTTAAAAAGTAATGCTTTACATGAACTAATCACTTAAAGCATACATTCCCAACGAACCTGTACAACACATTTCTCAGCTGGAGTGCCTTTTAGACTCTCTTCCTTAAAGCAGCTCTGTCACCCCTCCCCCCTCTCCCCCCCCCCAAAAAAAATTGCATTTCATAAACATCAAAACTTTATTAAATGCACATACACACTTTATTGGAATTTAACGAAAATTGCATCCCAGTCAAAAGATATTAGGTCAAAATATCAGTCAAAACTCAAGTTTGTTCAGGCCTCCATAGACATCAGTATTGTACAGTCTCGCATGCATGGCTCCGGGCAGAAGAAGTGTCAAGACCTAATGAGGGCTCTGCGGAAGAAGATGTTGGTGGCCATAAGAAACAAGTTCAGATCAGTAAAACTCACCTTTCCCTGTAACCCAGGGTCACCTCACAGCAAGAACTGAAGTCACCATTTGGTATCTTTTCTAAATATGCAGAGACGCCAGAAGGTGACAGAGCTGCTTTAAAACTTCTCTCCCTCTATGAACGATGTGTGTTCTCTATGAACAATGCATATATCCTTGTGCATGCGCAGGAGTGAAAAACTGAAGTTAATATATCCAGCAAGATCTTCTAAAGATCTTCTTGCACATATGTTATAACTTGTCAAAATAATTTACTATGCATCACAAGATAAGGTGTGTGTTTCCATCAGCCATTGTGAGCTACGGTTTGCGATGAGAAATGGCAGGATGTGTCAGAAGAAACGGTCATATTATTCCAAAATTTGGCGCCTGCGTGAGGCAATGTACTTTGTACTTTGGCTCACGTGTATCTTCTCATTGCTTTTGAATTCTATTGTTTTGAAAAGCACAAAAATTACTGTGCCTGTTTGTTTAACTCTTAGTAAACAGATTGCCAGAGAAATGCATGAATGTATTTTGTCAAGATGTGCTTGTTCCTTTTGGCACTAACTAAAAGAAATGTGTGTATGTGAGGGAGCTCAGCAGTTTGAGTATCTCCTTCAGCGGTCCCTCTCTTTCAGTGCTTTATAGCTGGAGAGCTTATAGCTGTTATAGCTGTCTCACCCAAACACTAGCTGAGACTTAGTGAAGGGCGCCATTACAATATACCCCAAAACGTAGGAAATGCCACAAATATCCCCTTATAACTCTCTCCCTCCACCTCCTTTAGTCAAAAGGGCGCTCTTGTCGCACTCATGGTGCTGAATCGCCACCTGGATTAAAGATTATCTGGCCAGAGTGACTGCTGGGAGACTACAAGCTTTCCCTGCGAAACTCGGTCACCTGGTGAGTTAGAGTGAGGGCACTCTGGTGGAGGACAGGGGAAAAAACAAAAAGTGTTACTTCAGTTCTTAAGTGAGAATTAGGATGAAAGTCTCTGCATAGTGACAGAACTGCAAGATAGAGAGAGAGAGAGAGAGAGATAGTTCTTTGTTCTTTTTTACATTGCTTAAATACATGGGACTATTTGAGGATTGTAAATGGCAGAGTTGCATTCCTCAGCAGATTGGCAAATAATATAAATGTTCACAGAGTATAAACTGCTTTTTTACCCATTTGCTGGGCTGGATCCCTAGCTGGGGGAGTGTCCTGGTTCCCTGGATGAAATGTGAAGTTATCCTCTTGTCCTCACCAGGTTCCAGGAAAAGATAGAAGGGCTGCATGACTGGGGGTAACAGGAGGAGCCTGCCATCATGTATGGGAATGTCCCCTGCTTTCACTCTCCAGTGCTCAGTGTTTCCCATCATCTCTGTCTCTTTCTCTCCTCCTGTCCCCTCCTAACTCTCCCCATCCCCCTTGATAAGAAATGCTTTCTCCACAACTCTTAGAATTCGCTGAGTGATCTTGTGTTCTTTCGAAATCCTGCTCTGTACCTTGCCCCCTCCTTCCCTCCCAGTCACTTGTTGCCTGTTATATGGGCAGCTCTCATTCCCTTCCCTTCTCTCAGCTCCGGATCGCTCCAAGACCGCAGAAGGTTCCTGTCTGCTGACCTGTGAGTGTGCCCTCCTCCCCTCCACTCATCTCTGACATCCTTCCCCATACCCCATCGAACACTCTCCACCACACAGACACTCACCCAGTCCATTCAGGACTACACTCACCTTCACACAGCTTCACTTCACAGTATTGTCTCCAAATCCCATAGCTTCCACTAACCCCATTACACTGTCACACTGAGCTCATCTCACAGTGGGTTTACACCACAATAGGTAACAGGCATCATATAGCACAGCAGCTACTGTAAACTACAACACCCATAGCTCTAAGCCAGCCACAGACTGAACTTAATGAGAGTGTCAGTTTCAGCATTCCCCATGGCTATCTCTAAAACTAACTGTTACTGTCTATCTATCATCTGTATACTAAGTGGAAGGCACATTGCCATACATTGTTAGTGCTGTTACTCAACAGTGTTCATGAATGCAGATTGTTAAATGGGGGAAGATTGATTATAGCTACCGGGGAACGTGTAATGTCAGGTTAATTGTGCATAGTGAATAGTGCAAGGTGCAGTTATTAGTCTATTACTGGGAATCATTACAGGATAACATGTTATGCAGGGATTAGAAGTGCCAGCTAATTAGTAAAGAATGCAGTACAGGGATCACAGATTACAGCTGAAAGGCTCTGGAAATTTTGTTTTCTCACTAGGAGAGCTCTTATCAGGGTACTGCTCGCAAGGCACTGGCTTAATCACTAACTTCCTTGAACTCTTCTTGTTTATCATTTACCTGTTTGCAAAGATGCTGGCTCAGGTTATCTTCATTATTAATTATTTATAACTTTCTAGATAGTAAGCTCTGTGGGGCAGGTGCTATTTTTTTGGTTTTTAGAAAAGTTGTATTTCATATATAATGTAAACTGAATGGGGCTTTAGTAGTGATGCTATTTAAAGTTAAAAAATAAAATAAAATATATTGTTAGTACACTAACCAACCAAATATATGTAAAATGCTTAAAGGACCAATCTTGGCACCATAACAACTTCAATTTTTTAAAAACAGTTCAAACCCCACAGCTCTCTTGATGGTACCTGTCTGCTTGGTCCCTCTTCTCTGGCCCTGGCTCCAGTCCAGAAGCTTTTCCTGGGCTGCTGGTGATAGGCTGAGGGCTTCAGCTGACATTTTCAGTGTATTCATGTCTTGGCTTCATGTCAGGAAATGTGCTTTAGAATTTAGATAGTTTTGTTTCTTTTAAATTGCCGCTTCTCTGTTTGCTGGTTAGACTTCCTTTTTTATATTCTCTTTTCGTTAAAGGGACACTCTAAGCACCAAAACCACTACATTTTAAAGTAGTAGGTTTGGAACATAAACCCTGTTGCTTTTGTCTGGGAAGCATGATAATGCTGAATGCTCTTAATGCATGTTTAGAGATGCCTTGCATTCAGTGCCTCTCTATGAGAAGCAATAGATTAACAGACCAAGGCAAGTGCCATGCATGTACCATAAGTCACCAATGCTTCTGTATTAGAATTTGTATTTTTAATATACATTTGCTTATAATAAACGGGGGCCGGAATTGTAAAGCAAAAATCACCACGTTTACATTTAAAATGAATATATTTATTTTGAACTTTAAAAAAAGTTTACAATAGTGCCCTCTGCTCCAGTGGTGGATCCAGAGCCTGATCTCGGGAGGGGCAATTGTAGATTATTTAAAGAAATAATCCATGTATAATAACCACTACAGCTCTGTGTACTCTGTGTAGTGGTGATGGTGCCAGGAGTGCTGGGACCCCCTCTCAGAGTAAGTAGTCAAACTGTTTAAGAACAGTTTGACAACTTACCTGGGATCTGCTAAGATATGGGGCTGTAGTAGGGCATAGGAGCAGTGGTGTGTGAGGGATGCAGTGTGTGTGAAAGGTTCAGTGTATGTGTGTTGGGGTGTAGTGTGTGAATGTGTAGGGTGTGTGGGGCAATTTGTGTTTTGGGCAGTGTGTGTGTGTGGAGCAATGTGTGTATAGGGGGCTGTGTATGTGTGTGTGGGGCAATGTGTGTATGGGGGGCTGTGTGTGTGCGTGTGTGGCAATGTGTGTATGGGGGCTGTGTGTGTGGGGGGCAGTGTGTGTATGGGGGTATTGTGTGAATGTGTATGGTATGTGTGGGGGCAGTGTGTGTATGGATGGGCAGTGTATATGTGTGTGGGGCAGTGTGTGTGTGTGTGGGGGCAGTGTGTGTATGGGGGCAGTGTGTGTGTATGTGGGGGCAATGTATGTGTGTGGGGGGGCAGTGTATGTGTGTGTGTGGGGCAGTGTGTGTATGGGGGGCAATGTGTGTAGCGGGGAGCAGTGTGTGAATGTGTGGTGAGGTGGGGAGGGGAGCTTTTTTATAATTAAAAAAAAAAAATTCTCGATCCCTGGTGGTCCGGTGGGAAATCCTTGCTGGTCGCAGTGGTCTTGCTGGGCGCAGCTCCAGGGCTAGTGTGCACTCTCGCGAGATCCGGAGCATTGCTGCAGTTACCACGGCAACGCTCTGTGCTCGCGAGAGAAGGATCCGGAGGAGCTGCAGGCTGAGCTCCCGGGTCCTCTCTCCCTCTGCTGCCGGCTGCCAGCACGATCAGTGCCTGCGAACAGGGGAGAGAGATCTCTGATCTCTCCTCCGGTTCTTGAAGGCACGTTGCAGGGCTGGCTCTTGGACAGTGACAGCCCTGCATTAGCCGGTAGGGGAGAGCCTTGGCCTGCCTTGTAATCTTGAAGCCCCCTCTCCCCCCCAACCCTGGATCCGCCAATGCTCTGCTCTTTCCTTCTCTCTGGCCAGCCACAGATTTAATACTTCTGATGAAACCTCCAGGGTGAAACGCATAAATCTGGATTGCTTTTTATATTTATATTTTATATATATATCTTGTTTATTATAATAAAATTAATCCTTTTAAATATAAATTTAATCTATTTAGAATTTTTTTTGGCTTCCTGATCAACATATATCCCAGGTGGGGATCATACCCAGGGCCGGTGCAAGGATTTTTGGGTACATATGCAAAAATTAATGTTTCCGCCCCCCCACTCTAAAAATAACATATTCACATATGTGCCTCTTAACCAGCCCCTCTCTCCTCCCTGTCCATTAGTGGTCCTCTCCCTTTCCTGTCCCTTAGTGTTCCTCTCCCCCCCTCTTTTCCCTGTCCCTTGGTGTTTCTCTCCCCCCCCTTTCCTGTCCCTTGGTGCACACCCCACCCCCTTAGTGGTCACTCCCCTTCCTTGTGTGCTGCCTACCTCTCTTGTAGCATTGCCGAGCAGAGCAGATCCTCTACAGGAACTTCAGTTTTCTGTACCCGACTGGACTGACAGGAAGTGCTCTCTCAGTGAGCACCTCCTGTCTGTCTGGCCGGGTACAGGAAACAGAAGCTCCTGTACTGTGCTTCGCTCCGCCACGCTACACCCAGTTTTGTATACACACCAACAGTTACACACACTCAATGACAAACACACAGACGTCACTGGCAGACACAGACTCACTGATCTGACACACACTCATTCATTGACACACACACCCATACTGATAGACACACACTGATTGACAGACACCGATAGTCACACACAGACTCAATGACAAACATACTCTCACTTATTTGACAGACACTCACAAACACACACTGACAGACACACACTCACACTGACAAACACACTCATACACTGACAGACACACTCATACACTCACATGCACACACATTCATACAATCACTCACACATACACTTACAGACACACACACACACACATACAGACACACACACTCACAGACAAACACATACACACACACATTCACACATACACTTACAGACACACACACTCACAGACAAACACACACACACACTCACAGATAAACACATACTCACACACAAATTATTAATATTAAATGTCCACCCAGCCTCCCTACCTGGAGAGCTGGCGTGGATATGTCCCTGGGGTCCATCTTCAGTGCGGCAGGCGGCAGAGTTCCTGTCAGACTCTGCGAGGGAGCTCTAACTTCTCTAATCTTTGCGTGTTGTCTACTGATCGCAGAATCCGGAATATGACGTCATATTCTGGCTCCCGCGGCATCATCAAACATTGTGCAAGGGAGCAGAGCAGAGAGGTTAGAGCTCCCTCGCCGCATCTGATTAGAACACAGCCGTGCCGGGGGTCCAGAAGGTGGCCTGGCAGGAAGGAGCGCTTCCCTCCTGCCGGTCACTGAAATCTTGTGCCCCTAGAGCCAGTGCCTTATGGACGAGCCGGCCCTGATCATACCACCAAAGTGCTTTATACTAGAGCAGGTCTATGCTTTAGTTCATGTGAGTAAGATACCAACCTTTTCATATATGCACTGCCACTTTGATATACATATTGCACTCCTGGATATTCCAATTTTTGTCTTTACATATTTGAGACACAGATAAAGTCTAGAACCACTGTAGCTGAAAATATATCCAGTGATGGGGATTGTACCGTATATGCCCTGCACAGCAGAGCTCTTTGTAGCTTTATACCTTGTGAGTGAGTTTTTTGCTATAGCACTCTACTTCACTGTATTAAAGACATACTGCACTATTATTGTCTCTCTTTTTCCTTTATCTTTGAGATACCATGCACTGTATAACAGCCAAAGACTTCGTAGACTTTTTTTTTTTTTTTAAAGTATGTACATATGATTTATATTTGACTTCATTTATGTACATTACTGTGTTTTAAGGCGCGGTTATCTATTTTTTTGTATTTGTCTTCAGCCACATATTATCAATTTTTTGTTTGTAGAGTTGGAATGTACAGTAATAGACCTCCTCCCTGCTGCTTATCTGTTTGGCAACAAAAAGCTATTCCCTGGTGGTCTGTGGATTGAAATTACAGTCTGCGGCTTCTGAGAAGCAAACTGTATTTAGTTCGCTTTCTGAACGCAGTCTGAATGAATCAGTGTGCTGCTGAGATACGACATCAAACCTGGCTGTTTTGCTCTGATTTCATACAGAGTGCAAACCATCCCGAGACTGATTAGCCCGTCCAACACATAGCACTGCGCACTTTGCCAATGCTATAATGGGGGAATGGGTTGTTTTTGGTTTGGAGTGAATTTAACATGCAATAGTTTACTATCCCAGCCATCAGGTATTGTATGTGGGTAGTGGCTAGGAAAGATAAATTCTTCATGCTGGCCTCTATTAAGTCCACCCCCAAAGGTACGAGAAATTCCAATCGATAGTGCCAGTTCTTAAATGCAGGGTGGGGCACAAGTTCCCATTGCCAGGCCCAAAGACTTCTGGCACCATGATCTCCACAATATCCTGTAGTGGTTTTGGTGCTTGGTGTGTCCCTTTAATTTTAGATTAATTTTATCATTACATTATGTACTTATAAACATAATATATACAATGTAATAATGCTTTAGTAACAATATAGTTTTGTTGATCCTGTATCTCAATTGTAACTCAAAACAAAAATGTTGTTTGAAGTTGAGGGAGTGGCAGCATAACCAAATTAAAAGATGAATATATATAATGTAAATCTACTTTTTTTTTTTTTTACTTTTCATGGGGGGTGGGGGAGAATGCTGGTATCTCACTCACATTTTCATGAGCTAATATGCCCTTAGCTCAAAATGTATTAGTGTCAGTCGTGTTAAAGGGACACTCCAGACCCCAAGAGCATTTTAGCTTGCTGAAACGCTTTATGTGTGAAAAGTGTGCTCTTTTTTATCATTGGTACTTTTATAAATGAATCTTGTTATACCTCTTTCCTGTAGAGTTTCCCTTTAACTCCCTGCCATTGGACTGTAGAAAGGTGATGCCTCTCCCACAAAGGCTCTAGGTATAAGATGCACATATACTGACAGGATGCTGAGCAAACAACTGTGCTGACTGTGCAAAGGCCTGAGGTGGAACTATCCCCACCTCCTGCAGCGATCAGTCAGTGGATGAGATGTCCAGAGAAAAGTAAATACTTTAATAAATAGCTTAAAATGCAAAATTAATCACAAATAATACAAATAACATCACGATGGCTTTTGCCACTATGGGCTTTTTCACAGTGCTTGAAACTGGCTTTTTACTGTGTGTGTTTTAAATAGCAGGGATTACAGTATACTTTTTTAAGGTTTTTATGTTGTTTTCTCTATGAATGATATGGGAAAATTAGAATTATAATAGAGATAGGTTATATATATATAAACAAAAACAGTAAATCTCTTGCACTCTAGCTCCTATTCCCCTTAAGTGCCAGGAGCTATAAAGCCAGGGCTCCGTTTATCCATGTATCCATAGAGGTAACTGTACTCACGGTCTTTCAAAGTCCAATCTTTATTGAGATGTTAAAATTAAGATCAATGTTTCAGTCCTCCGTTTGGGATTTTCATCAGGATCATCATTCTGATGAAAGTCCCAAACGGAGGACTGAAAAGTGGATCATGATTTTAACCTCTCAATAAAGATTGGACTTTGAAAGACCGTAAGTGCAGCTACCTCTATGGATACATATATATAATAAAATTGTTTGATAATGACCCTATAGTGTCAAAACATTGATGTTTTTGGACATGTATTAGTAAAAGTTTTGTTCATGATTTGAAGTCCCTTAAATGACCACCATAGTGCCAGGAAAACATACCCATTTTCCTGGCACTATACTGCCCTGAGGGTGCCCCCACCCTCAGGTTCCCCCTCCCGCCGGGCTCTGGGGAGAGGAAGGGGTTAAACACTTACCTTTCTCCAGCAACGGACGGGGAGCTTTCCTCCTCTTCTTCCTAGCGACGTCATCGGCTGAAGGCGCATGCGCGGCAGGAGCCGCGCGCGCATTCAGCCAGTCTTATAGGAAAGCATTCATAATTCACAATGAGACAGCCACTAGAGGCTTTAGAGGCTGGATTAACCCTCAGTGTAAACATAGCAGTTTCTCTGAAACTGCTATGTTTATTAAAAAAAAAAGGGTTAATCCTATCTGGACCTGGCACCCAGACCACTTCATTAAGCTGAAGTGGTCTGGGTGCCTATAGTGGTCCTTTAAGTGCTGCCAATTTATTTTTTATTTTTTTCTATTGGTGTGGGTTAACACCTAAGCAGATTGTTGTTTCTATATTTTATTGATGAGTGCTGCAGATATATTTATATATCTGTTTATACACAGAATTTAGGAATCTTGATGTTAAACCTATAAATAGAAAAGTGACATAGTGCATAGTCTAATGGGCAGAAAACGCAAACTCTCCATTTCATTCACGGGTAAAGATAATAAAAGCGCCTTATGGGTGACTCCCTCGATTGTTGTAGGGGGCCAGAGTTTCTCCTTTGGACTTCTCTTTGGACCGGTCTTTTTATTCACCAAAAATGATTTACCAGAGTTGTCTTCCGAAAAAAGGATATTTATTAAACCAACTTCTATAATTACACAATAGTGTTAAAATAGGGTCGTCCTACGGGTTTTGTTCTCACATAAAAACTTCCTAAGGAACCTCAGAGTAATTAAGGCATATATATTCTTGTTTAAAATTGATAACATTAAAGTAAATTAATCAATGTGTTTTTTATTCGATATATGTTGATGTATGTTGCCATGGTAACCTGTAATTGTATGTCCAGAATCTCAAAGGCAGATAGCAATCTAAAAACATAATTATATAATGTTAATCCTGTAAATATTTAGAGTAAAAATTAGATTCATCCCTAACCTTAATTGTAACCATGACCTTAATGCATACTCTATTTTACATGCTCTCCCGCAACTCCATTGCTAAAAATATATACAGCATCCATGTAGAATAACTAACATAAGTCTCAATTTAATAAGCTTTCTCAATGATTTCAGTACATTGTTTTCTAATGATATATCTACAATGGTGACTTCTGTAAATAAATCATTTGGAAAGTTTTTGTAACAGTATTGAATCATTTGGAAAGTTTATTAAATCGAGGCTATAGTAGGTAACAAATGCACTACTCAAATGGATCTCTGGACTTTGTACATCGGAGCATTGTCATTTACTCTGGAATATCATACGAGATACACAGATTATATCTAGGGCTCATATAGCCTATAACAGATATCAGACAGAATATGCTGACAGCTTGCTTCACCATGAAAAGCATAAGGACACAACAATAATGTAAGGCAGAAACATACAGTTCTGGAAATGATTACAGTTATTAACCACATGAAAAAAGGAAAAACATTTACATTTCATTTCAGTATAAGTTCAAACAATAGCCTCTGACTTCTTTTATTTAAAACGATTACACAATAACCACAGATCACAAGGGTTATTCACTAAAGTGTGAATCAACATGAATTTCAAGTCAATTTCAAATATGAGGCCAATATAGTGAAACTTGAAACATTCTTCAAGTCAGGTATCTTTTCCATTTGGCTAATTTTGCCTAAAATGTGAAACTGACTTTAATTTTACCCTTGAGCTGAAACCTATGTTCACAGTGAATTGGTGGAATAAATATTAATCTTCTTGCCTTCTGCTTTCTTCTAGCTGGACATGCTGTTCTCTCGCTGATGCATTCCAACATGGCCAAATCCACCATCTACACTCCGGCTTGCACGGAGGAACCCACTCAGAATGGGAAAGAGCAATCCTTATCGGATACTGGCTCTCAGGAGTCCATGAAATTGAAGAAAGAAATCTCACTTCTAAATGGAGTGTGTCTTATAGTTGGGAACATGATTGGGTCTGGAATCTTTGTTTCACCCAAAGGAGTTTTGATATATAGTGCATCTTACGGCCTATCACTCGTGATTTGGGCAGTTGGTGGTGTCTTCTCTATCTTTGGTGCCTTATGTTATGCTGAGCTGGGTACCACCATCACCAAGTCTGGTGCGAGTTATGCCTACATCTTAGAAGCATTTGGCAGTTTTGTAGCCTTTATCAGACTTTGGACATCCCTTCTTATCATCGAACCAACCAGCCAAGCTGTCATTGCAATCACCTTCTCAAACTACATGGTGCAACCCATCTTTCCATCATGTGAATCCCCCTATGCAGCTAACAGGCTTTTGGCAGCAGCCTGCATTGGTAAGAAAGCTGGGCTAATGTGGTCAGGGACATAGCAAAAATAAATAGGGGCAAAATCTGAGACATGAGGTGTTATAAGTAATGGACAAAAATGCAGAAGAGTAGTGTGTTGACAAGGCGCTTAATATGATATACAATGAATATAAACAGCAGCTACCACTATAAATAGGGACTCTCCACCCTATACATAAGCATGTTATAAGCATGTTATAAGTAATGGGCTTATGGTATTAGTTTTCCAATCATGGTTCAATCTGGTACACAAGTTAAATATGTTGTTATGCCATGATGGCATGAACACGTCATTAGTGTGCATACTTTTACATCACTAGATGAATGTTTGGTGCATCAAGGTTAAAAATTCTAGAGTTTATGCATGTCAGCATCAGTAACTGAAAGTGCTACGGAGTCTATATACAGTATCTCACAAAAGTGAGTACACCCCTCACATTTTTGTAAATATTTTATTATATCTTTTTGTGTGACAACACTGAAGAAATGACACTCTGCTACAATGTAAAGTAGTAAGTGTACCGCCTGTATAACAGTGTAAATTTGTTGTCCCCTCAAAATAACTGAACACACAGCCATTAATGTCTAAACCGTTTTCAACAAAAGTGAGTACCTAAGTGGAAATGTCCAAATTGGGCCCAAAGTGTTAATATTTTGTGTGGCCACATTATTTTCCAGCACTGTCTTAACCCTCATGGGCATGGAGTTCACCAGAGCTTCACAGGTTGCCACAGGAGTCCTCTTCCACTACTCCATGACAATATCATGGAGCTGGTGGATGTTAGAGACCTTGCGCTCCCCCACCTTCCATTTGAGGATGCCCCACAGATGCTCAATAGGGTTTAGGTCTCGAGACATGCTTGGCCAGTCCATCACCGTTACCTTCAGCTTCTTTAGCAAGGCAGTGGTCATCTTGGAGGTGTGTTTGAGGTTGTTATCATGTTGGAATACTGCCCTGCAGGCAGGCTCCGAGGGGAGGGAATCATGCTCTGCTTCAGTATGTCACAGTACATGTTGGCATTCATGGTTCCCTCAATGAACTGTAGCTTCCCAGTAACGAGGCACTTATGGAGGCCCAGACCATGACAATCCCACCACCATGCTTGACTGTGGGCAAGAAATACTTGTCTTTGTACTCCTCACCTGGTTGCCGCCCCACACGCTTGACACCACCTGAACCAAATAAGTTTATCTTGGTCTCATCAGACCACAGGACATGTTTCCAGTAATCCATGTCCTTAGTCTTCTTGTCTTCAGCAAACTGTTTGCAGGCTTTCGTGTGCATCATCTTTAGAAGAGGCTTCCTTCTGGGATGACAGCCATGCAGACCAGTTTGATGCAGTGTGCGGCGGATGGTCTAAGCACTGACAGGCTGATCCCCCACCCCTTCAACCTCTGCAGCAATGCTGGCAGCACTCATATGTCAATTTCCCAAAGACAACCTCTGGATATGACACTGAGCACGTGCACTCAACTTGACCATCGCGAGGCCTGTTCTGAGTGGAACCTGTCCTGTGAAACCGCTCTATGGTCTTGCCCACTGTGCTGCAGCTCAGTTTCAGGGTCTTGGCAATCTTTTTATAGCCCAGGCAATCTTTATGTAGAGCAAGAATTCTTCTTTTCAGATCCTCAGAGAGTTATTTGCCATGAGGTGCCATGTTTACCTTCCAGTGACCAGTATGAGAGAGTGTGAGAGCGATAACACCAAATTTAACACACCGGCTCCCCATTAACACCTGAGACCTTGTAACACTAATGAGTCACATGACACTGGGGAGGGAAAATGGCTAATTGGGCCCAATTTGGACATTTCCACTTAGGGGTGTATTCACTTTTGTTGCCAACGGTTTAGACATTATTAGCTGTGTGTTGAGTTATTCTGAGGGGACAGCAAATTTACACTGTTATATAGGCTGTACACTTACTACTTTACATTGTAGCAGAGTGTAATTTCTTCTGTGTTGTCACATGAAAAGATATAATAAAATATTTACAAAAACGTGAGGGGTGTACTCAATTTTGTGAGATACTGTATATATTTGTTTATATTTTCCTCCTTCGCACAAGGAAAATGAAAATGTCACATCAATGATGACTTCTTAGCAAATCGATCTGTGTTTCTGACTTTATTAGGGTCTGGTAATATTTGTTTATGAATACATTATTTTATCACAGTAAACAGATGTAAATCATTCTGTAGGGTTCATTCGTCCATTAAAACATTGTGTTGAATTACAAACTGAAAAAGCTACATTTAGCTGAAAATATCTGAATCAGTAGAACAGATCTCAATGTCAGTTGTTAACTTATTTCAAAATAAATCACATTTTGCAAATTCTGGTTGCCACGCTTGACTGGGCAGTAAATAAAGTCCTAGGTCAGCATTCATCATAAGAAATGGATAAGGTTGCCTTGCATAGCTGGAGAATACAAATAAATATAGCAAGATGGTTAAACATACAATGTAGTATTATTGTATCTCCTTTATTGATTAAATTGGCAGTGGAGTCCAGTGCTTGGGTCAACCTAATCAGCTCTGCTATAAAACATGTTTTATGGCACAACCTCTGTCAATGTCACTGTGGATGATGGGTACTCGAGAGAAAGTGGCAGTAATGGCTAACTTATTCACTACCTAACTACACAGTCTTCACAGTTAAAGGGGCACTATAGTCACCAGAACACCTACAGCTTATTGTATTTGTTCTGGCGAGTATTCCCCTTCAGGCTTTTTGCAGTAAACAGTGTCTTTTTTTAGAGAAAAGGCAGTGCTTACATTACAGCCTATGGATACTTCAATTGGCCACTTCTCATATGGCTACTTGAGGTGCTTCCTGGGGTGCAGCACTGACATTCAGCGTCTCCACCCTCTGCATGTGAAAGCATTGTGATTGGCTCAGAACATCACTTCTGATGATATCAGCCAAGCAGGCAGGTCAGCGCCAAAACTAGCAGCTGCAAACTGGAATAAAGTTAATGTTTTGCTATATTTAGAGGGCAATGGGGTGCCAGGGGGGCTAGATGGTGGTTTTAACACTACAGGGTCAGGTATACATGTTTGTGTTCCTGACCCTATAGTGTTCCCTTATTGTATATCTTCCCATATTTAGCCTGATAATGCTGATTTTGGACCTTTGTTCCACTGCCCTATGCTTTTTCTCTGGTTTTCCACTTCTGAGACCCGAGGACACCAGAGAATTGTTTCCAGAAAGGCATGAGGCCAATAGAAGGCACCTCTAACCATGCGAGAATGCTTTTACCAGTCGTGGTTGGAGGTCCACATGACAAGGGAACAGTGCTGCTTGAGTGCACAAAGCACAGCTCCCGAATGTGAGAAGACTTACTAGAAAGGTGTGAGCAGGTTATACATGCCATGCTCATGCTGTACAAGTATTTGGACCGATTAATGGAGAAGCTAGAATTTCTCATAAGATATCAGTGGGTGGGGGATGGAGCTGGGGTACTGTAGACTAAGAAGGAAATAAAGAAAATGTAAGGTAAGCAAATGGTTAGTTTGAAGGTAGAAATTCCAAGCAACAGAACCACTGGTGGTGGTTCTTGAGGTGTCCCTTTAATATTAGCATGGATATGTATATGCAAAAAGTAACCCATTACATTCTGCAATACTTAAAGTCCAGCAACAACAATTTGGTGGGGACATATTTTATTATTTTTTATCTGTTTACTGTATTTTCATTTACTTTAGCAGCCCTGTTTAATTAAGACACACAGGCACTAAGTCATGGGCAAAGGCCTCACATGGAGGTGAGACTGGCCTAGTTCTGCTGTTAGCTTTCTGTTGAAAGCTGTGCAGTGTGTGGCACACATGATCACAATTAGTTCTATTTGCAAAAGCCCGTGATGCTTCTATGGGCTTACGTGTAGTTTCATATATGGTTGCCCATGGATAAAACTAATCATATCTATACATGTGCATAATGTTTCACAAGCCCTTTCATAGAAAACCTAGTAACAGACGTGCAGTGGAGATGTGCATTTTGTTTTGTTCTGATTCCAATTTTGTATGAATTCAGACTAAATAATCAATTCGGAAGCATCCCAAATTCTTTAGAAGATTAAACAAACCAAAAACGAATACATTTTAAACAAATCAAAACTAATTATTTCTCATGCATTGGTTTTCATAAGGATAGCAAATTAGGTACTTATGTTATCTTCTAAATAGCTGAAATATCAAAATAAGAAAAGCCATTTTCCTAAATTTGGTCTTTCAGCTGTGTAGTGGATAGCTAACTAAATTGGTACGGTAATGTGAAATCGCCATATTTAAGATTTAAAATTAGGGTGCTGTTAGCAGATAGCTCCTTATTTGGTATTCTTAAATATGACAATCCCACATAAGGATAGCAAATTAGGGAGTTATCACCTAAACAGTTGAATTTCGATTCCGAATTTTTCTTCAGTTCCGAAATGTATCTGAATTTGTTTCGTTCCAAATAGATAACTTATGAATTTTGGAGGACCTAAAATTAGAAAACGAATAAACTGAAATGAAATTAACCAAAATTTTCAGACGTGCACATCTCTAATGTGCAGCCGCAGCCACCATTTAGAGTAATATCTCCGTATATGATGAAGTAATGTACAGCTTCTCTAGTGTTAAGATTATGCAAAGTGAAAGGCAACAAAAACATTGATTTTGAAAAAAATAAAAATAAAATTGACAACAAAAACCATAACGGAACTAAATCTATCCATACATTGCATAGGTGGCGTAATGGTGTCTGGAGGACCCATTAGAAAAGCAATGCAGACTGTTGTAATTTGGGACAGAAAGCCTCAGGATCATTAGTCACATGTTTCCTAAATCATATGGTGTTTCATGTGGAAGTGAAACAAGCTGTCGTTTTGGCTGCTAATCATTTCTGATCCTGCTACGTCTGGTTATATGTTTTTTAACCTCACTTACTGTTATTCTTCCTGCTTATGTTCTGCTTTCCTCTTCCTCTCTCTTTATACAGTAACCTCCTGCATATCTGACAGTGTCTTCCCCCATCTGATTCTTGGTTTTGGTCTGTGAGGATGGAAGTGGGATATGAGGAAGCTCTGATGCTAGGTTGCTGACAACAGCGAGCTAGTCTCATGACTATGGTGTGGTAACACAGTGAAGTCAGCTGCTAGCATTAGAGATCTTTGTACAGTATCTTTAATATTGACTAACTCTCAATAAGGATAATGTTGTTATCAAATTATGTTTTTGTCAAATAAAGCTAAAACCTTAAATGAACAATATAGGGCCAGGAACACTAACATGTATTGAATCATACAGGGGCGGCTCTCTAGGTGGTTTAGGCGTCCACCTAAGGACTCGCGCTGGCTGGGGCCTTGCGGGCACCTAAACCGCCTAAGGGCAGACTGTGACCAAGGACCCACGACCAGGAGGGGGCCTGGCCGCTTGCTCAGTATGCCGCCGGCTGCGAGGCCCCTCCTGTCTCCCCGGCCAGCCATCAGAGACCCCGGTCTGCAGCTCCGCCGAACTGCAGACCATGTGTCTCGTCGAGAACTGGCCAATCAGAGCGTTGCCACGGGTTACCACGGCAACGCTCTAAAGGGTCTCGCGAGATACATGATCTGCTGCTCTGAGGAGCTGCAGACTGGATGTAATGGCCACCAGACCACCGGGGAGCCAACCGGACCACCAGGCAGCCCACACTGGACCACCAGGGAGCCCACTGGACCACCAGGGAATAAAGGTATTTAGTACCCCCCCTCTCCCCATCACCCCCCTCCCTCTCACCATCACCCCCTCTTAATATCACCACCCCTCCCTCTCACATCACCCCCCTCTTAATAACACCGCCCTCTGACCATCAACCCCCTCCCTCTCACCATCACCCCTCCCTCTCACCATTACTCCCTCTCACCATCACCCCCTCTCACCATCACCCCTTCTCACCATCACCCCTTCTCACCATCACCCCTTCTCAATATCACCCCCCTCCCTCTCACATCACCCTCCTCCCTCTCACATCAGCCCCCCTCACTCTCACCATCAGCCCCCTTGCTCTCACCATCACCCACCACCATCACTCCTCTCTCAATTTGGATCAACAGCAAAAACATATATGAGGAAGGCTGAACTTGATGGACGCAAGTCTCTTTTCAGCTATGTAACAAAACAAAACAAAAATATCACCCACCTCTCCCTCACACCCCCTCTCACCATCACCCTCCCCTCCTTCTCACCATCAGCCTTCCTCTCACCATCACTCCTCCCTCCCTCACACCATCACCTACTCACACTATCACCTACTCACACACAGGATCACCCCCCTTACACACACAGCCTCCCCAGACACACTGTTAGCATCCCCTCACACTGTCACCAGTGGCGTCTCATTTTTCGGGGGGGGCACATGGAGGGCCAGGGACAAAAGTAGACCCCGCCCCTGTCGCATGTTAAGCCACGCCCCCGACACGATGTGTTTTGTTTTTTTAATAATACCTGGTGGAGGATTCATTATTTTACACCAGGGATTATTAAAAAAACAAACACATTACCCTTGATACAGTGCCATAGTTGTCAACATTTGAAAAAAAAATTCCAAGGACATTTTGCAGCACAGCTATCAATTACTGTCTGGGTATAATATCCCTGGACAGTCAGTGCTCTCTGTATAATACAGGGTTGTGTGTATAATAAATTGGGACACTTAGTGCTCCCTGTATAGTGCTGCTCTCTGTATAATACAGGTCTGTTTGTGTATAATATCCCAAGACAGAGAGCAGCACTATACAGGAAGCACTGACTATCCCGGGATATTATATACACACAGATCTGTATTATACAGATAGCTGAGCATATACCCCATGTCCCAATCTCTAGACTACTAGTACCTGTCAACAGCAGCTCCCAGACGCGTGTAACAGTGCTAAAGTGTGCGGCAGCTCACACAGATTATTCAGCGGTAAAGTGCACTCGCTGGCAGAGCCAAACTGGGAATCCCTGGGAATCCAAAGCAGCCTTGGAAAAAAAACGTATGCCATTCCTACAAGTCAAAATATATATATATATATAGTACAGTAAGCACACAAGCTCACTGACATGCGCAAATAGGCTTACTGACAGACAAAACTCTCTTACTCACACACAAGTGTACTACAGACACTCACTTGTATAAACCGAAGGCTCACTACAAAGAAGTTCAGGGACACACACACAAGCTCACTAAAGACAAGCTCACTGACACACACATGCTCACTAAATAGAAGCTCACTGACACACACAAGCAGTACCATTTTAACAGAGTTAAGGGCCCCTGGGCAAAGCAATGCACTGGGGCCCTTCCTACACAACAACTCACAGGAATTTTAATTATTGATAGACTGCGGAGTCCATACACACACACACACAGACTGCTGAGTCCATACACACACACACACACACACACACACACACAGACTCTGCTGAGTCCATACACACACACACACAGATTCCACACACACACACACACACACAGAACCCTGCTGAGTCCATACACACACACACACACACACACACACAGGCATTCCAAGTTTGAGTCTCATACACACACAGACTGCTGAGTCCACACACACACACACACACACACACACAGACTGCTGAGTCCATACACACACACACACAGACTGCTGAGTCCACACACACACACACACACACACTGCTGAGTCTATGCACACACACACAGACCCCATCCATACACTGACACACAGACTGCTGAGTCCATGCACACACACACACACACACACACACACACACACACACACACACACACTGAATGCTGAGTCCATGCACACACACACACACAGACTGCTGAGTCCATGCACACGCACACAGACTGCTGAGTCCATACACACACACAGACTGCTGAGTCCATACACACACACACACACAGACTGCTGAGTCCATACACACACACAGACCGCTGAGTCCATACACACATATACACACACACTGCTGAGTCCATACACACACAGACTGCTGAGTCCATGCACACACACACAGACTGCTGAGTCCATGCACACACACAGACTGCTGAGTCCATGCACACACACACAGACTGCTGAGTCCCTACACACACAGAGACTGCTATGTCCATACACACATATACACACACACTGCTGAGTCCATACACACTCACAGACTGCTGAGTCCATATACACACACAGACTGCTGAGTCCATACACACACACACACACACACAGACTGCTGAGTCCATACACACACAGACTGCTGAGACCATACACACACAGACTGCTGAGTCCATACACACACACACACACACACACAGAGACTGCTGAGTCCACAGACACACACAGAGACTGCTGAGTCCATACACACACAGACTGCTGAGTCCATAAACACACACAGAGACTGCTGAGTCCACACACACACACACACACACTCACACAGACTGCTGAGTCAATACACACACACAGAGACTGCTAAGTCCATACACACAGAAACACACACACACACAGACTGCTGAGTCCACACACACACACACACACACACACTGCTGAGTCCATACACACACACAGAGACTGCTGAGTCCATACACACACACACAGACTGCTGAGTCCATACACACACACAGACTGCTGAGTCCATATAAAAACACACAGACTGCTATGTCCATACACACACCACACACACAGAGCACACACACACACACACACACACTGCTCACACACACAACACACACACACACACACACACACACACACAGTCCATATACACTCACACACACACAGAGCACATACACACACACACACACACTGCTATGTCCATATACACACACACACACACAGAGCACATACACACACACACACACACTGCTATGTCCATGCACACACACCAAGCCTACCTGTCACTGGAGGCTGTTGCTGGGGGTCAGACAGCCATCTTCTGCAGCAGCAAGGTCTGCTGCTTTATGGCGGGCATGGGGCTAATGTGCGGGAGGCGGGACTCAGACTGCTGAGTCCATACACACACACACAGACTGCTGAGTCCATACACACACACAGACTGCTGAGTCCATACACACACACACACACACAGACTGCTGAGTCCATATACACACACGGAGACTGCTAAATCCATACACACACACACACACACACAGACTGCTGAGTCAATACACACACAGAGACTGCTGAGTCCATACACACACACACACACACACACAGACTGCTGAGTCCATACACACACACACACACACACACACACAGACTGCTGAGTCCATACACACACACACACACACACACAGACTGCCATACACACACATACACACACACACACACACACACACACACACACACAGAGACTGCTTAATCTATACACACACACACACAGACTGCTGAGTCCATACACACACACACACACACTGCTGAGTCCATACACACACACACACACGAGACTGTGAGTCAATACACACACACAGACTGCTGAGTCCATACACACACACACACAGACTACTGCCATACACACACACACACACACACACACAGACTGCTGAGTCCATACACACACACAGACTGCTGAGTCCATACACACACACACACACACACAGACTGCTGTCCATACACACACACACACACACACACACACACAGAGACTGCTGAGTCACCACCCACACAGACTGCTGAGTCCATACACACACACACACACACACACACACTGCTGAGTCCATACACACACACACACACACACACACAGACTGCTGAGTCCATACACACACACACACACACACACACACACACACACACACTGCTATGTCCATACACACACCAAGCCTACCTGTCACTGGAGGCTGTTGCTGGGGGTCAGACAGCCATCTTCTGCAGCAGCAAGGTCTGCTGCTTTATGGCGGGGATGGGGCTTATGTGCGGGAGGTGGGGCTTCATTTGGGGGTGGGGCCTGTGCCAGGGAGCCTGTCAGTGTTCCCTCCAGCCACAGACAGCCCCCAGCACCTCAGTCCTGCATTCCCTCGGGCTGTAACAGGCTATTACAGTCCGAGGGAAGAACATGGCCAGCAAGTTGCCAGCATTTGGGGGGGGCCCAAAGGGGGGCACAGCATGATGTAGGGGGGCCATGGCCCCCTCTGCCCCCCCCCCAGTGAAGCCACTGCCTATAGTAGAGCTATGGCCAGCTCAGGAATAAATCGCTTTCCATGGCTTTGATC